TCTGCTTGTCACTGTGTAGGTGCATTAAAGAGGGGAAAAGGGAAGGAAGGAAAAAAGAACGGGAGAAAAAGGCAGCTGAATGAACCCACTCCAAAGATGATAAGGAGACATTTGAAGAGATTCTTTTTTTCCTCCCTCTAAATAAATCTTCCTCAAAGGAAACATCATTTCTATGCTGTCCGAGGAGTCTCTTCTTGTTGATTAATTGCAGGGGGCGGGTACCCCCCAGCTGTCTAAAACATGTTATCTCTCTCACTCGCTGGATTACAGAGCCAGCGTCTGCCAGGGCTCCATTACAGTGCGATCTAAGCGTGCATTATATCATGAAAACTTATGACAGCAAGACGATTACTTCGAGGAAACCACGGTGACACTGCACACAGCAGCCTGGTGTCTCCCCACCGCCACCTCCCCACTTCCCTGATCCAGGCGGGCTGCAGAGTTGGGCTAAGAAGAACCTGCTGGGTTCCGTCGAACACCCAAGCCCTGGACAGGCTGGAGGGCTGATTACTGCCACCGGGTCGCTGTGCCATCTGACAGCCTGACTGAGGACCCCTGGGAGTTCTGCCAGCTTAGATAGGAATGGGGGGACCACCTGCTCAGCCCGGGGGACACTCAGGTCGGATTGGGGGGCGCAGGAAGGAGGAGGTGATGTGTGCAGGAGGCAAAGCGGCCTGGCTCTGGTCCTGCTTAGCTCCTCCAGGACTGATGGAAGGATCCTGCCAAAAGGCTGAGAGCTCCCGGCACACAGAGAGCCGTGATAGGTAGCACCTGTGAAAGCGTTTCGCGGTTTTAAAAATGCCGTTCCTCAGAGCGGTGGGGGCTTGTGCACTCAGTGTGGGGTCCAAGAGTTTTCCTTCTAACACGTTCCCAGGTGACACTGAGAACCACCTGCTCTCATCACACCCCCTGGGCAGCAGGAGCTCTGCACCCTCCTCCACACCCCCAAATGCACTCTGTTCGCCTTCCTCTGCCATCTGTCTCCTCTTCCACCTGCACATCTGGGAAGTGAAAATGCCACTCCTGTCCCACAAACCCAACCTGCCTCATTCATGAGACCGGCTCCCTGTAGTCACTAAGTGTCCGTGACTAAGGCTGGATGCATGAACCACTTAGAGGCATCGGGTCTTCCGCCAAGAGCGAAGCCAAACCAAGAATGAAACTTTCATAATGGAGTTTCCAGTTATTGGTGCACCGAGTGTGGCAGGTTGAGGCAGGAAGCCCTCGTTGCACCCCCAATCTCATTTTGTAGGTGCCATTTACATCACTTAAGATTCTGAAGAGATGGTGCTTTATCACTCCCAATGCCCACCAGGTATACTGTAGGTGACTAATAAATGTGTGCTGTGTGAATGAACAGTAAGTGCTCTGGCAGGAGAAGAAGGAGGCCCAGTCCTTTGCCTTCAGCAGATCCAAGATGAGAGCCAAGTCCTTCCAACCCCCTCACCAACGACTCATCGTAATCAACCCTAACTGAGCACCTACTACATGCAGACCTCAGGCTGGACCATGGCTAAAGACATCACCCAGGGAGACCCTCCACTAGTCAGTCAGCTTGAGGTTTCATTCTTTCATTCACTCAAAGTCACTGCTGAGCACATGCTACGCGGTGACTGTGATCCTCAAAAGGGAGGCCCTTAGGGAGGTCATGTGGCAGCATCTCCGGACCCTGAACAGGAAAAGCATTTCCAGGAGAGGAGGGAGGGAAAACATGGGTTCCCCTGAGAAAGTCTACACTGCTCAGAGCAGGCTGAGGGATGAGTCAGCACAAGCCTCGCAGGGATCTGGAGGAGCAGAGGCTGGGCAGGGGGCAAGGTCCCTCCTTGTCACCCTCCTTGCCACCTGCCCCATCTCAGGCTGCCTTACCACTGACTGGAAGCCTCTTGAGCCCTGAGGCAAGGGGGCAGCGCTATGCCCATTCCACAGGCACGGAAACTGGGGTCCAGGATCTTCAGCGACTGCATGAGAGCACAGCAGGGCAGAGCGGGCCAGGAAGTCCGGGGTGAACTCACTGTCCTGTCTCCATCACTACACTTGCTGGGCCCTGACTCTGCCGGACCGCAACTCTGTGTTTGCCTCTTAGGATCCGCACACCTCCGTTATGATCCTCATTTTAAAAATGGATAAGATGAGGTCCAGAGGGTGAAGTGATACAGCTAGAAAGTGTGAGAACCAGGATCTAAGCTCAGGAGATCTAGATCCAGAGCTCACATTCTTAGCCATCATACTGCAATACTTTTGGATACCTAATGGAAGGAACTAAGGCGCAGAGACGTGAAGGACTTTGCCTAAAGTCACACAGCAAGGAATTGGAACTCAAGTCTGGCTGCACCCCACACTGCAGCCTCTGGAGACTCAAAAGGGCTGAGAAACAGGAAGAAAGGGGCGATTTCTGCACGTTTCCTCTACTCTCTCAGCACTTCAAGGCTTCCATCCTGGGTGGCAGTTGAATCATTTAAACTCCTCGGCTCCAGCCCACCACTACTGGGTCCTGGGCTTATTTTTATCCCAGGTTACAGCCACAGCTCTTAGCAGAAATAAACCATGCTGTTTGCTTCCTGTCGCCTTCACGTCAGCTTCTGTCTTGTCTGCATTCACGGCCAGCTCCCCACTCATCAGAGATTCAGAGCAGAAGCCGGGCCCACATGTCATGGTGGTTTCACATCAAAAACCCCAAATGCTCCATGACCCACACAGAGAGAGGGGAAGGGTTAAATAAAGAGGAAGTCCGCATCCTCCAAGCAATCCCCAGAGCAGCCACCCTGCCCCGACTGAGCCCTGGGCCCCCAGCAAGGCAGAAGGGCAGGAGAAGAGCCAGACCTGGCGGGCTCTGGCTGTCCAGCCACCTCTTAGAGTCACAGGGTCCCTGGCCGGCCCTGCCTCCCTCCTGCCAGCCTCAGGGACTGTCCACATTCACCTCCAAGGTGAGGCTTCTGGAACTGGGACGGTAAGGTCCTTCCTGGGCACCCGGGGCTGGGGCAGGGAGAGGAATGAAGCATCTACCTGACCGTGGGTTTGTAGGCCGCTTACTGTGTGTTCTTGGGCAAGTTGCTTTCCCTCTCTGGCCCCCTGTGAAGGTTAGAAAAGCTCTTCCTAGAAGTGCGGGCACGCACGTGCTCCCATACCACACAGTCCCAGCCCCTCGGAGCTGAAAGGGGCCTTGGGGTCCCTAAAATCATCTGCCTCCTTGCACAGATGGGGAAACTGAGGCCAGAAATGAGAAAGAGGGAGGGAGCTTAGACTTAGCTCTTTTGATCCGAGTCCAGGGCTCTTTCCAGAAGGTTCCATGCCCCTCCCCGTGGTGCACCACAATGCACCACTTCAAACGTGACGTGGAGGAGGAAGTGCGGTTTCCTGGCTCACAGCCATGCCCGGGGTGTGTGGAGGAAGCTCTGGCGCCTGGACAGCCGGTCCTGGCCCTCGGCTGGGCTGGCTTGCACTGTAACACTCCGCCCCGGGTGGCAATACTGCCCTGATGCCCCTGCGGTTTCCCTAACAGCCCCCTCAAGGGCCCCCTAAGCCTTCCTGTAATCCAGCAATCCATACAGCAGGGATCCTAAGATCCTCCACTCTAGCATGCCAACCCTGGTCCGCTCCGGTCCATCCGGGCCAAAGCCCCGTATTAATTAAATATTCCCCATGGCCAGATCCGTAGATTCTTATCTGAACCAAATTTCTTCCCATTCATCATTCATGCTTGAGGCTCCCCAGAGAGGAAACTAAGGCAGCTTCTCTCTCAAGGTCATTGAGCAATGGAAGCCAGGATGAGAAAGCAGAGGACCAAGCCTTTGGCACCAACCACCTTCTGCTCCAGCTCCTGCGTCCTTCCTGAGCAGGCTCAGGCTCCGGCTGCAGATAACGGCTGAGTGGACCCTGCTCACACCTCGGGCCTGCTGGTCTCCGGGCCCCATATTTCATTCCCCTCACTTACAGGGAGCAAGGACCTCAAGGAGAGATCCTGGAGGGTGGGGAGCGCAGAGGGCTCAAGTGGCCCTGGAGATAACAGCAAAGAAGCTAAAACTACGGGCATTCATTTCCAGAAAGGTAGATGAAATGAAAACAGAAAGCAAAGAGAAATCCTCTTTTGATGGGTCACAGATTAGCAGCAAAAGCATTTCAAAGTTGAATGTGAGCTTTGGGAATCAGTTATCGGAGAGCTCCACCTCCCACTCACTGGCAGGCTGGTGCTGGCCTACCCTATCCCAAGCTCAGAAAAAGAAACTACTGCGGGGCCATCGACAGTCTAGAGCTGGTGGCTGAACCCTCCCCATCTCCCTCTGTCCCCTCTGTGACTCAGGCCCCAGAAGGGAGGGTCCTGAGCCAGTGCCAGGCACACCCCACAAGCAAGCACAGACAGGTTATACCACCTGTGAAAACAGAACATCTGCTCCACAGGCAGGTGGCGGCTCCCTTCTGGCCTTCTTGACCACTCGTTCCAAGGAAAAAGTGGCCCTTTAATCTCCCCCAAGCTCCCCATCTTAAGAAAGCTAGAACAGCTTGCAAAATCCACCACAACTAAATTCCTCAGCTGTCCCTGCAAGAGTACAAGCTAAGCCCGCTGTGTGAAAGCCACCACCAGTGTGCCCGGCAAGAGTTAATGCTCCTGACCCGGGTGATCCCCCTCCAACCGGGGCCAATATGCTCCCCGCCTAAAGCCACACCCCCAGAGACCCTCCGCCAGACCACCCATGAAGGGTTAAATCACTCAGAGAACCACTGGCTACTTTCAACAGCTTTTGCTGCAAAGGAGACAAATTGGGCAGAAGCCACTACCTTGATCGCATTGCCCAAAACATGAGCACATTTACAGCCCCCCAGGCACTGAGCCGAAATCCCATTTGGCTTCGGGGTGCCGCTTTGGCGATAAAACACTGCAGAATGTGAGCAAATAAATGTGGTCATTCCTCAGCACCCCTCCCCTCCCAGCTACCTTTTACCCCTCACCCCTGAGATTCCCATCACCCCAGCCCCTTTGCACACCCAAGAACAATGTCTCTTACCGCGGCACCAGAGGGCTGCAGGGACAACAGGGGGCCAGATTCTTGCCAACTCCTTCCTTCCCTGCCAGGTGGGAGGATGCTACTCCTGATGACTTGGTTTGAAAGCTCAGCAGAGGTGCCTGCAAGAAAATTGTTCATTTGACTCTCCTACTCTTCCCAAAATAAAATCAAAACACCAATACACACACACACACACACACACACACACACACACACACACACACACACACACATGCCCTAAATCAAGCAGGACCCAGACAAAAAGAAATACCGCTGCTAGAAGGGAGGAAACTCAGGTCAGCCAGAGTCCGTGGAGAGCAGACAGGGGATTCACTCAGACTGTCGGCACCTGGGTGAAGGTATCTGACTAGTCTGTCTCTCTCTCTCTGTCTCTCTCTCTCTCTCTCTCTCTCTCTCTCTCTCTCTCTCTCTCTCTCTCTCTCTGTCTGTCTCTCTCTCCCCCTTCTGTCCGAGTGTAGGCAACTCCGGGCTGCTGGCAGCGGACGAATCAATTGCTTCCCCAGTGGCCGATCAGGCAGCGGCTGTCACCACCACCGCAAAACCCAGGGTGAGCTCGGGAAGGGCGCGGCAGCCTCCCGGCGCAGGGGAACCAAGCCTGCCTCCCGCCTGTGATTTATGTGTGCGGTGCCTGGAGAGAGAGAGAGAGGTGGGAGGCCGTGAGGAGAGGCTGGCGCGCGAGAGATCCCAGCCGTGGAAGCAGAAACCCGGGATTGGCGGTCAGCACCGTGGACAGCGCTGGATGGGCGGGACGCGAACCCCCCAGGCGAGAAGTTAAGTTATTGGACGGTTAGAACCGAGAAGGGGGGAGGCCAGAGGGGCAGGGGACTGGACTTCTCCGCCTCACACAATCAAATCAGTGACAGCCTCTCTACCATACACTCGTTCTAATATTGTCATTCGCTCCAAGCAAAGGATCTCTAACTGATCAGCACCCTTCCCACACACACCCCTGACCCCACTGCCGCTCCGTTCAGAAAACTCGGGTCTGTCTCCCTCCACCCTAAAGCTCAGTCTGGCTCGCCCATTCTCACTCAACTTCCTGCAGATTTCTAAACAGCACCTTGGGATTTTTGTAACTCAGAGCAGGGGTAAAGAAATTTCTCTGGGGTGAGAGGGCTTAGGTAAATAACCACTTAACATATCTCTAGGAGCCAGTTCCTGCCCCCGTACAACCTTGGAAAAGTCATTTAATGTTTCCAAGTCTCATCTGTAAAGTAAGGATATGAAAACTATATTTTCCTAAAGATCAGAAGAAAGGTTAAAAGGGCAACAATAACAACATCAGTATTTTGGGGATACTATGATTTCACAATCTAAAATGTGTCTGATGATGTTTTGACAGAGACAAAGAAATTTACAGCCAAACCCAAGGCAACATGTGGTCCAAAGTGGGATGATGCTGGATATTTTTAGGAATTCCAAATCAGACAGGTGAGCCTTGGCCAGAGACCTCTCCCCAGAAAAACCTAGACTGACTTTCTGAAGAAATCACTGTCTGGAAAAGAAAACGCAATCATTAAACGGGAGAGCTATAAAAGGAGGAGCGGACCCTGTCGAGTTCAGGGTCCTCTTCCTGCTAACTACGGGGAAGCACTCGTGTTGGAGAAGAAACAGAAAATCTCAGCGCATCAGGACCTACCCAGAGCTACTCTACAAAGTGAGTTCCCTTTTGGTGAGGGACTCACATGAAAAATTTCCTGCTCAGGTAGCCCAGGCAACTCCAACATTTGCTAATTCATCACCCACTTGGAGACTGTCAGATCTTTCTTTCATTGACGAGGTTGATGGTGGCGGTGACTGTCATGAGGGGGATGTTGCTGGCAATGACAGTGGTGGTGGTGGCTGTGGTCATGATGGTGATTGTTGGTGGTGGTGGTAGTGGTAAAGATGTCAACAAGAGCTACTGTGAACCTACGGTGTGCCAGCCACCTCGCTAGGCTCATTCCACCTATCATCTTGAGTCCTCGCCTGGACCCTGTGAAGGCATCGTTATTATTATTATCCCCACTTTACAGAGGAGAAAACTGAGACCTGAAAAATCAGATTCTGTGCCCAAAGGTACATGATAAGTGTCAGGCACAGCATTCAAACTCAGGGTTGTATAATTCCAAAACCCCTGCACCAGAATACCTGTCAAGCTCAAACGTGTGCTTCGATTTTATTTTTGGCAAGATCCCACTGAATATTTTCTGGAAAGATGCCATGGCATAAATTTAGTCCCCTCATTTCATGGAAGGAGAAACTGAGGACCAGAGCAGGGTAGTGACTCGCTCACAGCTGAAGAGCTAGTTGAGTGTGGAATCAAAGACATTCAGATGCCTGGACCTGTGTCCTCAAACCTAGAACAGTCCAGGCATATAGTAAGCCCTCAATAAACAACTGAGTAGTCATTTAAGAAGATCAGAGAAGAACAAAAGCCACCCTGGGTCCTAATGGTGGAATCAGAACACAAGTAGTTCCTAGCACCTTGTTCCTTAGTCCCAAGGAATTTCTGTCCCATCCACAGCCTGTTCAGAGGATGAACCTAGCTACCACCTGCTAAATGCCTGAGCACCCACCCTGTGTCTGGCACGGTGCTAACCAAGTACTACCTCAGTCTTTACAACTGCATGAACTGGATGCCAATACTGGTCCTGTTTTGGATGAGACTAAGGCTCCCATGGGGTGCGGGGAGGTGAAGCCCTGAAGCTCTCCCAGGCAGGCCGTCAATCTCAGATCACTTGACTCAAAGCCTGTATCTTTACTACCCTGATAATTTTTCCCCAAACCAATGGCCTTCCCAGCTCCCCCCAGGAAGTGAAAAGGAGGCCTGAACTGACCTTCAGCCTGGTTTCCACGAGAACAGTTGTGCTTTTAGCTGATTTTTGCATGCAAGGCATCTGTCCAAGCCTTAATTGAAATAAGGATTTGCAGCAAAATTAAAAAATAATAATATGGTTGAAACCAGAGCTCTGCACCCTCCCTGGTTACTGTGTCCTCTAGGAAACAGCTCTGCCTCCTCAGGAGGACTTTGCCCTGCCACTCTGTTCACCATCTCCACTTCTCTCTTCTGCCCTGAGTCATCCAGGCAAACTTCATTCAAAGAATTGGCAGCTGGGACAAGCTCTGACAGCTCTATGACAATGCAGCAGGGAGACTTCTTGAAACCAGAGTCCTCCAGGCTGAGCCAGCCGGGCTCTGCTGTTCCCTGAGCTTTCATGAAAAGCTGGGGCAGCATTGCAGAGCTTCTTCGGGGCCCTGGACTCAGTCACTTGCCTTGTCCAGCCCTTGTTCTGTTGAACAGCCCAGTAAAGCTCCCAGCATCCCAGGGCGGCTGGGAAAGGATGGTGGTAGTCGTGGCTACAATCAAAGCTCCTCCCCTGGGCTCTGTGCATCCCATAATAATCTATCCTCACCCCAATCCTATGTCAGGATGGTGTGGTTTCATTTCCATTTTACAAATGAGAAAACTGAGGCTGGGATGCCTCACACCACTAACCCAAGACCATTCAATTTGGAAGTGGTAGGAAGGGATGTGACCAAGGCCCTCTGAGTTTATGGCCTTTACTCTTATGTGGCATCCCTAATGTAACAGTCACCTTTACTCACTTTGGTGCCTAATAGTCACCGGCTGCAATGCTTGTTCAGCCCAGGGCACTGCAGGGGTCGCAACTGTGCAAAGAGATTGTGGAACATGACTGGTCCATCTTAGAGATGAGGAAATTAGACAGTGAGGTGTCAGGTAACCTTCCCAAGGCAAAATAGGTAACAGGGCCGGAGTGTGAGCCTAGCAGCTTCTCTCAGAGCCGTTCCCTTTTCTGTCTCCCAAGGAGATGGTTATTAAGAGAGTTCAGAAAGAAAAGATGTTCGTGGTTTACTTGGCAAGTGTGGTAGGCAGCATCATGGCCCCAAAGTTGTCTGTGCCCTAATTCCCCAAAAGATTGATATATTCCTTTCAGTGGTAAAAGGGGACTTTGCAGATGTACGTTAAGGATCTTGAGATATAGGCATTATCCTGGGTTATGGGGCAGGCCCACGTAATTACAAGGTTCCTTATAAGAGGCAGAGTCGGGGAAGAAGTAATGGCGGAAGAGTGGAGAGGTAACGGTGAGGGGTAGGGTGAAACACCACATTGTTCATCTTGGTCTAAAGGTGGAGGAAGGGGCTGTGAGCCCAGGAATGTGGTGGCCTCAGGAAGCTTGAAAAAGCAAGGACGTGGCTTCTTTAGAATTTCCAGATAAACCTGCTGACACTGTGCTTTGAGGACTTCTGGCCACCAGGACTGTAAGATAATAAATGTGTACGTTTAAGCCACCACGTTTGTGGTTACTCGTTACAGCAGCCACAGGAGACTCATCTAGCAGGGGTGCCGGGGAAGCCTACAGGGAGGAATCCATAGCAGATAGCTTGAGCAATCATTGCCTAGGCTGCCTGTCATTCAGAGGAGCCACCACTTCAGTGCGATCAGAGCCATCTAGCAACCTGTGGTGTGTATGCCGGAGGTGGCCCTACAAGGGGAAGGACCCGTGCTCAGACCCGGAGCTCTGTGCTGGATGTCATAGCTGGGCTCCCTGCCTCCCCACCCCCACTCCTCCTCTGACGGGCCCCTGGGGAAATGCTGTCATCAGGAACACAAAAGGGACAAAATGTCACAGGGCAGCCTTCCAGGAGCACAACTCTTCACAGGAATCAATCAGAGACAGGCCAAGTAAATGAGGCAGAGAGACTGGAAAGAGGGGAGGAAAGAGATGAAAAAGGAAGAAAAGACAGAGAGGCTGAGACAGAGACTATGAAGACGAATCATCGCCGGGACCCAAAAATCCTGACCGCCAGGAAAAGTAGCACCAGGAGACCATAGGGCAACTGCAGAGAAGGCAGACCAAGGCTCGCACAAAACAAACCTTCAGACAAATCAGCAACCAATCAGTTCAGCACCATCAGGCAAGGCGCTGCTGGGGAAAGGAACTCGGCCTTCTGGGGCTGAGTTAGACTCTTGGCTCCCCCAATACCACCCATGTGACCCTGGGGACACCACAGACATGCTCTGACCCCCAGTCTCCTGGGCTATAAAATGGGACCACAATACCATTCCTGTACACCTTCAACGCGGCCGTGTCTC